ATAATTATTAACGAATGCGAGACTGAGACTTTCAATAAAGTTCCGTACTGATCCTTCTGCCGCCCTCAGCTTATGCTCGCTATTGTACCTTTGTTAAAATGGCTAAATTGCAAAATTGAGGTCATTTTCAGTCTGTGAGTTGTGGGCACCCTATTTCGTTTGAGGTGATGAAGGATTAGTACTTGATTTTTCCCACAATAATGTGAGTAGAGCTGGCGTTTCCAGTGAATTTCGCATAGCCTTGCTTTCCCAAAAAGTCTTCTCATCCAGGGTGGACTGCAGTTTCGACCTCGCATAGGTTTTATCAACACTCCAAGCGGGAGTCGAACCATGACAATGCAGCGTGTAAGCTCGACACATTTAACACTACACCACATTGCAACGAGTGCCTCTGGGTCACAGGGCAGATGTAAATTTCAAGGAATGCCATATATTTTCCATGTCACATTTTGCTTTGGGATTGTCGATTAAGCAAACTGATATTTGCTATAGCAATCGGCGACATTACTCTTTTCGTGAGTATGTCTTCGAGACTACCAGTAAATCATATATATGAGTTGTGTTCACCATATTTCGTTTAAGTCCATCGTGGTTCTCATATCCTTACTATAGACTGTAACTATGACGAACATTATGGTGTAGCCTTTTGTTTGGTCTCAATCTCCTTTGGCTGTATATTGTTGGTTTGCCACTGTTTTAGTAACTTTGTCATTGTGACTGGGAGACCATGTGGAATGTACCTAGTTCGACGTCTTTTGCCAAAATATTCATGACGATTTCTAGCATTGGACCAAGTCACCTGTCCGAGCCAGGAAATCTTCATGAATATTATGCCAGAGGACGCAGAACTAGGTATGTTCCACAACGCCTACCTGTCGTTCCGACCAAGTTGCGAAAACGAGGTCAAACCAACTCTATACTATGGACTGCCTATCAAATTGAAGAAAGCAGATGGGTTTGATATAGAAACTCGCCTGAAATATAGCAAAAGTGAATGGCTCAATTGATTAACTAACCATGTTGTAAAAAGGAATAAATCGAGCCTTATCTTATCTTAAAGTTATGACTATCCGAGAAGGAGCAACCCACAAAATTTTTGGCGGTAAACAAAATTGCTAGAGGATTTTTCGAAGCCATGTACTTGCTATTTCGTTCCCTGCTGTGTAGAAATCTATCAGCCTAATCGACAGAGGTATAATTCATCACCACAAGAGGTCGCTTAAAATGGAGCCTTAGGATTGATGCCCCCTGCATTAGTGTTAAAAGCACTATCGCTCGAGTCTCAAATTGAAATGCCGATCAGAGTCTCAGTTGTCGGGGCTTTTCATTAGTTGATTTTGCGTGCTGGCCCCTAAACTCACTCAAGCCATGCCAATTTCGTCAAAGCCTAATGCATCTGAGCATTTTCCTGTGGCTAGCGTTCAGGAGAACTCGAGTCTTGAAGGACCCGAAAATGTCTCGCATTCTTCGTCTGCCCCCCAGTTCAAGCCATGTTTTGGGCTATTTTCAAGACGAAATACTTGCCTCCATTTCCACTTAGTCTTCGATTTTGAGATGTCGTCTCACTTCGCCTCTCCTACTCCTTCCTGTCTCTAAATGGAGGCTCTCAAAGCGGCTATGAAAAACGGGGTTCACTTCTAAATGCATACATAAAAGGAACAGTTTCCGTCGATTTCAACCGGCTCCGTGGCCGAGTGCATTCGGGGCGCCCTTTCCAGCCAGCCTGACAGAAGGAGACCTGAGGTTCCATTAAGCCGGTGGGTCAGATGTTCCGGTAGGCGACTTCACCGAGGCCACCGGGGGACGAGATATGATCCTCTCTGTTGGACAGGTTGATGAGCACAATGATTGATTGGCTACCGCCTGGCCTGCCAGCTTCCCTCCATCCAAGAGAAAGTCGCCTGTCCCACCTAATGCGCACGGGAAGAGCATCAAAACTCCAACTGACCCGGCAAGACGTAGAATCCAAAAAGTGGGCAACAAAAATGAGACCGGACGGTATTCTGTTCCGTCGTGGTGGCGTAGCCAATTGCAATGCTGGAAATGACAGGAATGTAATACCCGGCTTTGCGTTTCCATTTATGTATTCTCATTTTTCTGTGTTAGGCCCCATTCTGGCATGACATACAATAGGGGAAATGGCGACAAGCTAAGATGGGCATTCACTGCGAAAAGGTAAATCTTGGTACCAGATGGCTGGACAAGGTGAGTAGCTTCTGCAAAATGACTTCATTAGGCAAGCCAGTTAGCGAAATCCACTATGAATGCGTTTAAAGATCTGCTTTGCCCTTACTGGTCTAACACCACCCGCTTGCCCTCCCGTCTGACTCTCGATCCTTATTTGCCTGTTTGTCTGTATGTCTGTCCGTGTCTCCGTCACCAGTCCTAATGTTGGGCAAATTTATTCACATGTGCCTGTTCGTTTAGCTAGCTACCTTTAACCGGTTTTTCTGTCTATGTATGCTCGTTCATAGTTCTGTCTGACTGTATTTTGGTAGAATTATGCCAATTTCTGTCTGGCTGTATGTATTTCCATTTTCTTGACTCTGTGTGTCTGCATGCACCGACCTAGGAGCCATCAATATAGAAATTGGTGACCAAAACAATAAAACACACACAGGCATGAATAAGTCTGGGCTCTATGCCATGTTATTTATGCAACTGATGGAAGAAGAGTATTTTATAAACGAACGATT